ACTCCATTCTACTGCAATGCAGCCTCAATTGCTTTTTCTTGCATCCTAGCCTGTTGAATAGCAAAAGTAAGGTAGTAGGCTTGAACATTTTGACAGCAAACTTGATCTCCTCTTTAGGCCTACAATAAAGCTAGACAAAAAGTGTGATTCATTTAATGGTGGGTTCCATATGATCATTTTGAGCCTTTAGAAATTAAATCTTTTTGTAAGAATTCCTCACGCCCCTAGTTTGGTTGAGCTTGTTGAAATCTTCTACCACATCTTCCATCAAAAAATCTCCAAACCTAACACAAATTTCCCTTTCTTAATTCGTCCCAAGTGACTGGACCTCTACTCAATACTAAGGAATTATACCAGGTCTCTGCATCCCCAGTCAAGTAAAGGGTTGCACCCTCGACCTTCTAGGTATCATCAATGTTGGGGAATGAGAAAACATGAAGTTTGTAGTTTTGATGGATGACAAAGAATTGAAGTTTTGATCACTAAAAAAGAGTCTTGATGTGTAACAAATCATTGGTTATCATAATCAAAAAGTGGGGGAAATGTTGGGAAGTAGGAGAACAAATAAAGTAGTTTTGATCATTGATAAAGTGGAGGCATGGTGTCGTATGTGTACAATTATGAGAGATTGTGGTGAAGAAGAAAAAGTATTGAGGCAAAGAAGAAAAAGTGCAGAATTTTAAAGAATGAAAAGAAGGAAACAAATATGGAAATAAATAAAGAAGGAAAGAAATAAAAAAGTAGCAATTCAAGTCAAAGAAGGAAAGAAATAAAAAAGTAGCAATCCAAGCCAAAGAAGGAAAGAAATAAAAAAGGAGCAATTCAAGTCAAAGAAGGAAAGAAATAAAAAAGTAGCAATCCAAGCAAAAGAAGGAAAGAAATAAAGAAATTACAATTCAAGTCAAATAAGGAAAGAAGTAAATATAGACAAGTTCAAGAAGGAAAAGGATTTGTAATTCCTTTCCTTGTAGAAGTTGAAGGCAAATCGAATCTATAAAAAGATCAAGAAGTTGAAGGAAAAAAATGTCTTTGCAATCACAAAAATCGAGAGAATTTTTCCAGCAAAGCCAAAACGATAGGTATTGCATATTCACGAAATATATCATCTTGAGAGTAGTATTTTCTGGAGAAAAAACGCAGGCCTTTGTTACAGAAACGCAAGGACCAGGTTCACCTTCATCACGGCAACATAAGGACCAGGTTCTCGAAACCTGTTCTACTCAGAACTATTGGATATTGAAGTTTGATCAATTAAAGTCTAGGGTTATTAGTCTTTGTTGATTTGTTCTAGGTTTATTATTGAGTTGTAATAATTCCAAAATTAGTAACAAGAAGTGGGTTTGACTTCTTGGGAGTTGAGTCTTGAGAGAATTGTAAACAAGAAGTGGGTTTGACTTCTTGGGTGATTAGGTTAACAAGAGTTGAGAGCTTGTGTAAACAAGAAGCGAGTTTGACTTCTTGTTGAGTGGAGAGTTTTCTATTATAGTTAGTCGAAAAGGGTAGAAGTTTAGAGTTAGATTCATTGATTAATTGAGTTGTAAATCTTGAATTAATAGAAAACTTCGGTGTGGTTTTTCCCTTCCTTCAGTTAGGAAGGTTTCCACGATAAATCTTTGTTTTATTGTGTTACGACAAAATTACAAGAACCTGGTTCTTGTTCTAGGGGTAAGGTTTCTTCAATCAATTTTATAGAGATTGAAGTAACGCTCACACTTACGAACCTATACCTTAGGATTTAAGCCTTCGAAGCTAGAAAGCTCTCATTTAGGGTAGGAAATATGCATCTGATTGGGTCGAGCCGGTTGAGCATCCTGAGAAGGAAGATGAAGGATCCATCACCTCTTGCCTGACCATGCTCCATGACATTAATACGCTTTAGTAAGAGCTCTAAGGTAACCTGGATTCTATGTTGAGTGGTCGTCAAAGTTTGTTGTGCATTCAGGAGTTCGAGCAGAAGCTCATCATGGTGGGCTAAATTCTCGTCCATACTTCACATTTGAATTCCTTCAGCCATAGTGACCAACAACAGTTGTGGAAACAGTGGCACTGATACTAATAGTTATGAATTTAACTTGAAATTCAATAGAACATTAGCTAAACTAGGAAAGAACCAATATTTATGGAACAATTTTTGCTTATGTGAAATTGAAACTAACAATGTTACAACAAACTGAGATAAATTAAAAAAATGAAACTAAACAAATAAAGGTATTATAGATGAAGCTCCTTGATCTCAATCTGAACTAAAAGAAGCAGTAGACATGATTAGAACGGAGTTGAAATGAAGAGAGAGGAGGCAAGGAAGAAGTTGAGGATTGTAGGATAACAGTTTCTTTTTCACATCTCCACTCTTTCCCTCAACATGTATATGATAACCTCTCGACTAATTTTTTTGATATTGAACTTCATTTAGCTACTTTTAATTCAAGCCCTTTATTATTTTCAATTGACTCCTTCTCCATCTCCTAAATTAACTAATAATCCTTCCACTACTAACTTCTATTGGAAAGTTAGATGAAGTTGTTATATTTTTTTTTTAATTTTTAGATTTTATTAATCTAGTGTTGTAATGAGTGGATATATGTTTATTGAAATTTTCTAGAAATTCTTTAGGGATGCAAAAGGATTGTCTAGTAGTGATTACAGGTTTAGATTTGAGGCTTAATTGATGGATTCAGTCATAAGTTTAGTGTATGATCTTTTATTCCATGGCCATTACTAATATGCATATGCAAGCTTTGAGGAATTGAATTCCGCTTAGGTTCATTGAAGTTATCAAATTTTATTTAAAAATATATATAGTACGATATAATGGTAGAATCTCTCGGATAGAGTTTAAAGATGATCAATTTGTCAAATATTAACAAATCCTCATTGATTCCAACACATGGAGAATTACTTTTTTATATGGGAATTTTACAATTGCTAAGTGTATCTCTGTATATCTTTTTCTTTGAAGTTTTCCAATGATATGTAACTGAATCACTTAACAAGATATTCTTCTTTGTCTATTGTCATTTTGTTACCTTTTTTCTGCAGAATATTCCAACCTATGATAAAAGATGTCTTCTAGGTAATTTGGTAGAAAATATTTATGCAATGGTGCATATGTTCTTAGTTTTATCTCGATTTTAAAGTATTTTTGAGTTTTAAGTTTGGAGAACTATCGAAAAAACATCCTATTATGATTCATTTATAGATAGGATGTGTATATCTATATTTGAAATTGTCTTTAAGGAGAAGTGGAGCACAAAACTTTTTGTCCTAATTACTAAGTTAAACTTGAATATATAAGACGCTTAGCCTTAGAAAAAGTAGTAGTCAGTGGAATTTCCTTGTAGACATCAAAATCTTGGTTGTCACAAAATATTAGCTTACTATGGAAAGCTCAAACACAAAAGAAGTTGCAAATTTAGGCCTTACCGTTGATCTTATACAGGATCATATTGCTCGATAAAAGGGAACATTAAAACACTTATATTGCATCTCAAAGAAGTATTACGAAGTGATATGCATACATGATGGGAATTTGTTTTAATGAAAACGATTTTCACTAAACTGAAAATGAGAAATTGTTATATTCTAGTGTTTGAATGATCCTTCCAAATACAAGGACCCGGTCGTTGGAAAAGTACCTTCGTCAAGATTCAAAGTGGTGCACAGCTATAAAGCTATCTTTACAGTTGTCTTGTCAGGTTGGTTAGTGATGTGTAGCGTACTTCACCATTAGGAAAGGCGGACGAAGTTGTTTGTTAAAGTGGTAAAAACCCATGTTGGTAACTAATATATACAACAATAAACAAACAACAATATTCATTTCAAGAAGAGATAAAACTAGCAAGTCTTTTTAAGAACTCAAATAGCAAAAAACATAGCAAGGGACCTGGTCCCGGAAAGTCTATGTCCGAGAAAAGGACGAAAAGATAAGTTGTCCAAAAGCTACCAACTCTAATGTGGTTTGTGCACAACTTTTCATGACAGCAGGCTCTCAGCCATTAGCCTTGTCCCAAGGGTTTGTGTCCATTTGAATATAGTCTCTTCTCCAACAACACAAATATTAGACTTCGGCAAACAAAATCACACAAGCTAAAAAGGAAAAAAGCCATCTTCAAGGGATAATAATACTCAACAAAAGGATCTGATTAAGTGCTAAAGCATTTTTGTTGAGATCGAGTTTTGTGACTACCATTTTATAAGTTTTTTCAACTTAAAAATTCTCAAGAACTCTTGCAAAGGCTATTACTCAAGTAAAGAATCATCCTCAAGATCAACTCGAACCTGATAGAGCTGCAAGCTTAGCGGTCTTACGATTATTTCTTCTGCACTTACATTGTAAATATGTTCCTCCATCTATAAAGGATTCAGATAGTTCGTTTGGTGAAAAATTCTAAATTAGTTGAGCCCAATTGATTTAGTGGGCAGTCGTGTGTGCTGTTTAGTAAAATTCTAAGTCATCCAGAGCATGGTGATTTAATGGGCAGTCGTGTGTGTTGCTTAGTAAAAGTCTAAGTCATCCGGAGTCTGGTGGTTTAGTGGGCAACCTGCGTACTACTTAGTCAAATTTTAAGTTGTCTAGTGGTGATAGCTTAGTGGGTAGAGGTACATCAGCTTATGCTCTTCAAGTAATAGAGTTATTACTTGGTCGTGAGATTAACTCTATCACATTTACATACATACATATATGCATACATATATAGATATATAGATATACACACACATATATAATGTGTGTATGTGTAATCTGTGGTAATAATTTTTAATCTTTAGTTTACAAATTAGTTAATTTTTTCATTTCGTCAACATTAAGAAGCTTTTAATTAATTAATATTAATTTGTATTATTTAAAGTTTATTTGAATTTGATAACTTAACTCAATTTGATTAAACTCCAAGATCTAACCCCTTTAACTTCACCTTAAATCCATTTCGAGACCCATTTTAAGCCTATTTAAATCAGGTCCATTATTCAGCAACCCAATTCCTTCAATTTAATTCCTAACCTAAGCCCATTCTTAAATTCCTATAACAATATCAGTCACCCAAACCCAGACCAAATACCCAACGCGAACAGCAAAAAACCACCGACAATGTGTTGTTCTTCCTCCTCACGATAATAACTCAGAAAACGCGTGCAAAATCCAGCAAAGAATCGCGACTCGAGCTCAACTCGAGCGTAACCATCTTCGCACATCCTCTCCCTAATCTATTCGTACAAAGCCTTTGAATTTTTCGAATGTCTCTATATCCTTTTGATTTCGTCCTTGGACCGAATTAGACGGCTCTACTTAAAAATCTGTTTAGGATTTGTACAAATGTCAGCCGTCCCAGCCTTACCCTCGAAGGACATTTGAATTCTGAATTTCTAATTTGAAATGTCACCCTAAATCTACCTGATTCCCCTCCCCCCACCCCCCACCCCTCACCCCCCACCCCCCAAAAAAAGTTTGACCTAATTCCCTCTATATAAACATTCTCTTCCTTTAGTGTTGGAGGTGAGAAAAACAGAGGAGAATACTTAGATAGAGTTGGGGAGACAAAAAATCTGAAAGAAATATAAATACAAGAATACATACATCAAAAAAAAAATTAGTAGTGAAGTTCCTCAAGCAAGAATCTATAAGAGAATTTCTTTTGTGCTCGCCTCTTGCAAAGCTCGTCGGAGTGTCGTTGGGGTAGTGAAGTTGCTGCTCCTTCTAGCTCGTCGTCTTCCCTACTTCACTGTCGGGAAAGGAAATCTCCTCCCTTGTAAGTTTTTTCTTTATTTCTTCCTTCTGTACTTAGTTATTTTCTTTTGAAACCTGATCGTGGTTCTTATTTCTATTGTCTCTTGGATTGAATCTTGTGGTAGCAGTGATTAGTAATTTTTTGCTTATTATTTGCTTCATTTGTCTGTCTCCTCTTCTCGTCAATCTACTAAACATGCTTTCTTTGTTCTTAATTGTCATACTAATTTTAAAATTTTGACTGATGACTTAGTGTTTAATTATAAGGATTGGTTATTTGTATAGTTCTCAAAAAACCAAGTTTAGAAACTACATTTTTTGGATAAATGTAGTCGTGCCACAAGATATGGTCATGTTTGAGTTCACCAGGACGCTGTATAGAATTCAATCTCTTTCTTTCCTGATTATTTACCTGTTTGAGAATCGATTATTATTGACATATTGGGTTATTTGAAGAGGTATTTCTCTATTTAGAGCACCAAAGCTCTTTGGGTAATTTCATGTTTATCATTTTATAAAACTAAGATTTTGGGTTCATGTTCTGTTAACCTTTTTGGTTCTACCTTTAGCCTTAGTCCTTATTAATCTTTAATTGAAGTAGCTTCCCTTTCATAAGTCAGAACCATATAGTATGTGGGTTTATTAAGTTTTGTTAAATGTGTGACACATCCCATTTTGATCTTATATTAGTTGGTTCAAATTTTAATTTTATTTTGCATTTACTGTTCCATTTTAAGTGCATGAATATCTACAAATCATGGTTCATATCTACCTATTCTTGTTTTGCTATTGGAAGTGTTTGACCATTCCTGTTGATATGAAAGTGGTATCCAATTTCGGTGTTGCATTTATGAAAATATACATAGTGTATTGCTCAAAGCATGCCTACATATCCCTTTGTCATGTTGCTTGTCATTAGTTTATTTTATTTGTATTTGGAGTCACTATTATTGTGTTACTTGTATAGGCTTTAGTGTTTGTTTTATTAACTCTTGTTATCGTTAAGTGGTCGGTTGATATATATTAGTTCATTCTGCTTTGTTTTGAGTCATCTTTTATGGTGATTGAATAGTGGTTTCAGTTTTCATTTTGGATCTTAAAAAATACTTGAATTACTTTGTTCACAATTAAGTTATGCCTCATTTGTTTTATTTGATTTATATGCTAATTTTATTTCTTTGCTTTCTTGTATGAATCCTCTTCGAGTCCATAATGGATATCTTTCCTTTACATTCCCAAATCGATCCATAGAGGCTAAAACCTCTTTTGTCACAGAGTCAGCTAGACCATGGGTGTAAAGGGAAGAATGTGAAATGCAAGGGGTTGGAAATTTAATTTCAGATTCCAAAATGGCCCAAAAGAAAGTTGTATGCGTGCAGTATACATTCTGTATACATGATATACAAGTCCAAAATATGGCAATAAAAGTTAAAAGTAGTTAAGCGCTTGAAAAGGAACAAATATACAGGGTGTTGAAAAGTTAAAGCTGATATGGAGCTTAAAAACACACCTATATGGTGATGTACACTTGGTATATGTCACATCTTGGGAGCACCCCTAGAAGTAACATGGCGTATTTGACCTCTCAAAGGTCTTATACAAGCTCATAGTTATCATTCATCGCATTGTTATAGTAAATTTTTGCGAAAATTTAAGACTTCCATAGCACTTCATATGCTAGAAACTTCACTTCATATATACTCAAAATATCATATTACATACTTAGACTCTAAGCCTCTTTGTCATATTAGACTCAACAAAATTAGAGTACATTAGCGACACGACTCTTAAAACATAATACATAACTATACAACATTTAAACACTTTACAGTAAAGACATTACATTAGGAAATCCTTGAACTTAAGGATTCCTTTCATTAAGCTTGGGAATCATCTATCAAGCTCTTCACATTTAGACATCCTTTAAGCATCCATAACCTACACTTTGTGTAAAAAGTAGAGAAAAATGGATTTAGTACAAGAATGCACTAAGTATGACAACCATGCAAAAATATGCATTAAAAGGGATATTTTCTTGAAATCATACTTCATACCTTTTTGAGTAAATCTTTATAAAACCTTTATGCAATTGCATTTATATAATTCACATACTTCATATAGACATATTCAAAGGTCAAGTATCATAGAAAATCACATATAGAATTTAAGTCGTTTTTGAGTTCACCCTACAGTGAGCTATCCTTTCTGTTATTCACTAACTTCCCAAGTAACCTTGTAGTGATACTTGGTGCAATGCATCATCTTAGGCCACAAAGAAAGAATATATACAACCTACACAAGTCATCACATATCATCATAGAAGTATAGCACATGATAGACACATTTAAGCCAAGACATAAGGACCTTACTAAAACTCTTATCATTATACATACATATATATATATATATTTATATACTTATTTTACTTCACATAGAACCTTATGAAACCTTACTCATAATCCTACTCTAAGTCTACTAGTGCAATGTATGTGTAAATCCCGATAACCTCACACATACTTAGTAAACCTATCATAACACCACAAGCTTAACATTCTATTTCATACATCAACAAGTAAGTGAAGACCACTCCATTCATGTTAACAATCTTCATCATATAATCGTTAAGACTCACATAGTGCATATAAGAATAAGACCACACCACATAGACTCATACCATGCACATCTTCATGATAAATAGACAAATACTATCATCCATGCATAAAGACATAATCATGATCATACACATTAGAAGACCTTCCTAGATCTTCCTAAGGAGATACTTGTGCAATGTCTAAAGGGGTTCATTACTTCCACCTATCCTAAGTAACCTCCCTTAGGTCATCCTAGTTAGGGTCTTAGTCATTTACTTCCATTGTTCATTTTACTTTAGGGAAACTATAGCCTTAACAGACATTAAGACCATGGGCGCTAAACATGGAATTTGGTGTTGTAGAGCCTTACACCAATGGAAGGTGTTCTTAACTAGCCAAGGTAGAACATTAACACATGCTAGCTTACTAAGTGAATTCACTTACTAGATCCTATGTGGCAAGTATAGTTACGGAACTAGGAGGTACATGTGAAAACCCTCTTTATGCCAAGATGGGGCGTTATGGTTATTCACTTATGGAAACCCTATTTATGCCTATTGAGGCACTGTGGTTATCCACCTCATGAGATTTATGGTAGACCTTCCTTCCCACATTGGAAAGAGCCACACACGCATATACAAGTTCACTCAGTGGTAAGCTAAGTTCTCTTTTATTGAAAAAGCCTTTATTATCATTTCTAAATAAAACATAGTCTTAGGAGAGTCATCCCCTCATATGCTTAGCTCATAGGTCATAGATGAAAGTTCATTAACCTACATCATGTGAGAAATCCTTTCACATGGACATAGCATATATTATTAGCACTATCTAGTTTAGGATACACTTGAGCACACCTTTCAAGGCCCCTTTATTGAATAGATCATCATTCATATGTGTGCGTATACATATATGTAAGCAAACCTTTCACATAACACATTAAGGTCACGCATGTTCATACATCCATATTCATGCACATAGAAATCAAAACTAGAAACTATTTTATCAAGGCACACATGTGCAATGAATAGGAAAGGTCCCATGAAACACATATCATACTTCCATAGACATCATCTTAACATGCATAGTAGTAGACACTAGTAAATATGAGAACTACCTTTCATTTAGACACCATGACCTATACTACTTTTAAGCATGAATAATGTGTGAGTGCGTGTGTACATTGGTCAACATGATCACATAATGGTTATCCATAACATCTTGAGGCAGGCAGACTCATAAGACCATAACGCACAACAAAGCATAGACCACACAACACCATTTAGCATGGAGGCAAGACAATCTTCACATTACATTCAAGACTCCTAACCTTAGCTATTCACACATTCACAATAGGGGTACATGGGTAGGGGTCATCAATCCTTAATACTTCATTAATGGCAGCGCCTACACATGATCCTAACATAAACATTCACATGCTCATGACAATAGTAACATAACCTAGATTCACAACTAAAGTAGAAGACTACGCACAGGTTACACATAAGGTGATCATCATAACCACTCATTCATATATTCATCAATTCTTCTTCAAGGGCATGTTCAACATATATATAATGACAATAAAGTAAACACCGCCACTACAAGTGGACCATACCATAAAATGCCATAAAAGGTTTCATCAACATTACTATAAAGAAGTAGAGAAGTAGAAGAATAGAGAAATTATTACCAATCCATTACTAATCTTTCATGAATAATTCAAGTATAGGAAAATATCTAAAGTACCATAATCATAAAAGAAACCATGTACAAGTCGCTACAAGATCATATTACAATCTAATACAATATATCACATATATATACTAGAAAGTAGAAGAACATAGATCTTTAACCCAATTCACTTGCATTGATAATCAATAACAATTTATCATCAATACAATGTACGACAGTAGCTAAAGAAATCATTACTCAAACGAAATCATGCTTCATCTACCCTAACATTTAGATCATGTCATATACACTACAACATTCACTTTGTAGGCTAGAAGAATCTAAATCAATCTTTACCAATTCAATTGTTATCCATTCATGTTAGATCAATTATACCTAATTATCATCACATTATACGTATAGGCAGTATCTAAGTACAATTAACCATGATCGAGTCATATAACAACCAACCTAACGTCAAGATCACAAGTTACCACTTGATAAACTAGAAGAACTTAGATAACCTCATATCTTCACCTTGATCATACATGATTTATACTTACAATTCAATCATTATATTAACCTTAGGAAGTATCTACAAGACTCTCAACATATTTGAGATCCACTTTTACACAATTAAGGACTAATGTTACAGTAAACACATAGAACATAAAGTAGTCATGTTAAATTCTTCATACATTGATCCACATGGACCACTCATCATCAATTCAAGTAAATAAAAGTATATTTATACAATATAACGTAAGAGAATCGCAATTCAACTATTAACAAGCTATGATCACAATGCCCATGCAAGGGCTAAATCAATTTTGGGAAGAGACATGGGTTCATAATGCAATTGGATAAAATTTCATGTTAAAAGCATTACATTACATCAATTCATCATTATTAAGACATTAAAAACATTTTTAGAAAGAACTCATGGCTATATTGAAAAAGAAGAAGTTTGATCGTGAAATCTCTTTTTGAAACTTTGAGATTAACTCTCTAGATGGAAGGATAACTAGTGATAAAGGATCACCATACTTTGTATAGTTGAAAACCTCTAAATATTGATGAATAAATCATAGAAATCCAACCTAATAGTTGTTCTTGAGTTTCACCTTCAAGGAGGTTTCTAGGGAGAATTAGTTTTGGAGGGAAAATCTATTTTGTGTGTATGGGATTGGGAATGGGTTGATCACATTTTTTATCACTTGTATACACCAAAAAATATCAAAATAAATCAAATAGGATCAGGTTAGTATGTAGGGTGAATTTACCATTCACCCCTTTAATGAGGCAGTCGCATGGCAGCAGTTGCAGGCTACCATCGACAGACAGCATCGACGGAGCGTCGACTGGACGACGGGGCGTCCTGCTGCTCCATCGTTAGTGACTGCAGCTTCCTCTTGGTTGATTCATCTCCTGTGGCTAAGTTTCAAAACACTCCCTAATCGATGGGGCGTCGATGGACTGACGAGGCATCACTTAGAGCTTGTCGATTGACACTGCCAAGGCAGTGTCTCGATAGCCCGTGAGTCCTTCTTGTAGGCCTTTTTGCGGGGCCCTTGGGAAGTGATACCCGGACTTTTCCAACGTAAATACGAACATTGAAAATTCATGTACCTTCCATGAAAGTTTCACCCAAAATGCACACATAAAACACGTCCAAACATGCTAGGCCCCATCAAGACATACTTGAACGTCTCAAGGGCTAACTTTTGAACGTCTTAGACGTTCTTGGACGTTTGACATCCAAACTTCATGAAACTCCATATAATGACTATAAATATAATTATAACTCATTTTAAGACTTCATAATCTCATGATGTACAAATATAAGGATGTATAAACACATGACGCACATAGGTGACTAGTTGTCGAACGTCTTGGTCGTCCCTTGACTTTTGACTTCCAAATTACCTCAAACCTTACACACTGCCTCAATACCATATTATAAGCCATTTTAGAACATTAGTCCCTTATGACAAACATGTTAGGCTCTAGACACCCTAACTCAGTTTTGGGGTCTTACAATATATATGCAGGTTTTTAAATGGAAAAGGGGTCCCAAACTCTTTTGTTCAAGCAGGTTCAGAAGAAAATGAGACCTAAGAGGCCCAATAGAGTGGTCCATCAACAGAAATTTAATCAAATAGGTCCACACTCATCTTTTGGGCATTTTTAGTTTTAGGACATGTTCATGGATTTTGGGCCAAGACCCAAATTTAACTCTCTCCTTTTCTTATTATTTATTTGTGATTATGTTGACTAACATTATTTTTATGATTTGCTTTTAATTTAATTAATTCCCAAAATATAGTCATATCGTCTATTATGTTCAAATTTAAATACTTATTTTTTAATTTATGACTTAGTTCTATTTTATTTTAATTGTCTTGCAATATATGAATTAATCACTTTAAAAACTCCCTTCAAGTTTATTTTCCCCTTAAATAAAAATGAGTTTTATTTCTTAACAAATATTTTAAAATATAATTGAAAAGTCATTTTAGTCAAATTGCCGGTCAACCGCGGGTTTTAGCGGGGGTTTCGAGGACCTAACACCTTCTCGGAATGTACATTAAACTTCAAACCTATTTTTTCAAATTGATTTTTATCGGTTTCAATCCTTTTGAAAATCTAAAGTTTTTTCTTGATTTTTATCAAAAAAATTAAGTGGTGAATCTGTCTTTTTGGAAATTCAATTTCTTTTCAATAATAAGTTTCATCAACTTTTGAAAAAAATCATTTTTATTTTTTTATTATTTTTTTCAAGTAAAACAACTGTGTAAAGGGACCTGGTCCATTGATGGTTAGTGGACGCACACCTTCCAACAAAAACTTAACTATTTGTTTGGCAAGAATGGCACTACCTTCAGAAAAGACAGCTAGCTAAAATTCATTTTTAGTTCAATAATGATCTCCAATAAGTTTTACCACTCCAAATAATGCAGCGGGTATTTAAGTGTAGCACAGCCTGGAAATGATGCTATAAGGCCATCAATGCTAGTGTGAATACCGATTCATTGACAAATATAGTGCAGTCAGAGTGTATTTACAAATCGGAGATACTGATTTTTCCTCTCTGACCCCTTTCAGTTTGTTAAGAGTTAGTCATCCATATACTGATACTTCCTCTATGTGCTAATTATTTTGCTGCAGCTATGCTAAAGCATAGAAGACTCCTATAATAACTCAACAGTAGATTAACAAACAACTGATTAGAACACATGTTAAAGAGAACAAGACCTTTGGGTGTATCAGATGAAGTATGATATGTGAGAGGATTGCTAACAGAAGTTTCAAGATTTGGGATCTCGGGTAATGTTTAATGGCCTTATAGGAATATGTGGAACCTGTTGATTGCATTGACAATCATTTATCATGTATGGATGAATTTTTTTGTAGTCTCAACTTAATAGACTTATCGCTGAAGTTGCTCATCGTGCAAGAGAAATATTAGGTTTCGCATCTTTTGGCTTATGGAAATTACCAACTAGTTTTATTCTTGAGGTATGTTTCTCTATTGCAATCTGACTAACATCACGATCACTTTTGACTGAAGTATTGAAACGTGTTAATTGCATTTTCGTGCCCCCTTTGAAATGTTGTGTCAAAATCAGTGTGAGGTTATATTTTGCAGGAGTTGTAAGAGAAGTTAAGGAAAAAATAGGAGTATGAAATTCACAAGCAACATATTCCTCTACCTAAATGAGCAAATATGTAATGAACAATTGTTATCTTAATGATTATTATTCTTTTCTTATTATTTTTTCCAGGATGATGCTCAATTTGAGAAGGTTATGGCTTTCAGGGAACAAACTCTTCATCTTATGGCTAATGATTATTTTGTGCCCTTCTATTGATTAGAAGAGTTACGTTACAAATCTTATAAGAACATGAAATGTTGATACAATAACTATCCACATGACTTGTCTTAGACACAGAGAATGTGAAATTCCTATTAGCTAGACTTTAATGATGTGTGATTAATAATAATTAGCTCTAAGTTAACTAGAACACTTGGTAAATAATTACCTTTTGAAGTTCTTTATCCCTTATTCACTATGTTAGTCATGTATTATAATTTCCAGTTTGTAGTTGCTCGCTTTTTTGTTATTTAGAATTAAAATAATGACTACAGAGTTCATCACTAAAGTGAAGTCTATATAACTTATTGTATGCACAAAGTAATCACATTTTTAGCAGTTTTAGCCTTTGCTTTTATATTGCTGCTATAATGCATTGGAGAGGAGAAAATGATTCATATCTAAAGTGACTTTTAGTTGTTTCTTATTATGTAGTTATGTTTTTCATGACATTTTAGCACCTCAATTGTTAGATCTCTCAAAATCAAATATTGATTTCATGTCACTTACTGCAGGTGTCTAGCTACGAAGATGGTATATGACCAATGTAAATTATGCGAGTTCTCATAGAGTATTAATTCTAGAATATGATATGGTCATTTCTTTTCAGATGGATGTAATATATTGCTCCTTAACATTTAAAGAATTTTGTTATGTAATTTTGAAATGCTTATATTTTTCATATATGATGGCTAATTTGTTTCAATAATCTTACTTGTATATTTGCGTCAATACTTATTGTATAGCAAATAAATAAGATTTGAGCAATTAAATTGGAGTAGAAATAGAATGAAATTATGAGAATAAAAAAATGGAATAACTGTTGATGCATTTAACACAATATGACAGTTTAAAAAATAGCCACTTGATCTCACATATAAATTATGACGGTGCTAAACTGTTGTATTAAACAATTATAATCGTCGTTCTATACGAATTACAGTTACAACAGTTTTGCCAAAACCGCCGCAATAATTTGTGACGACGTAATTACTATGCTTTTTAGAACTGCCACAAATGAACATAGTGCGGTTAAAACTGTCGCAATGCCCTTATAAAAATTGTCGCAATTCATCCGTTTTCTTGTAGTGTCTAGAGAGGGAAATATTTGCGAGGAAGATGTGTTCTTCTTTTAGGGATTTGAGAGAATGATATCAATTGGGTAAATTTAAGGTACAAGTACTTATATAGGGTTTTAGGTGAAGGTCAAAATAACATAGTATTAGACTTGAATAATTAGGAAAAGACTCAAAAGCCCTTAAAAAATAATCATTGAGTTCACCAAAGATGTAACACCTTGGGTTAAGAGAAGGAAAACATTCATTTCTCAGCCGATTCGGTGAAGTAAGTCGAGAATGCCGAACGAGAACTTCTCGCCTTTTTGGCTTGATTTTTGCATCCATTTGTTCTTGACCTTTAGGCGAGCTGTATTAAACTCGTTGTTCCATTCAGTGAGTCACCAAAATGAATTCCCCGTCGCCGAGTTAGCTTATTCCAAGAATAGACCCATTGGAACTTTCGTCGAGAGCTAAAGACTCACTCGGCGAATCGCGGAGTGGCTTTTGGCGAGCTCCAACATTTTTTTAAGGTTTAAGTTAGGATCTTCTGGGTCTTTATAGATTATTTTAATTCAGTACCATATCATTTTACCCTTCCCCTAAAGACCTATATATGTGTTTTTACCCCAAAACTTCCGCAATTTAAATCATTCTATCAGATTCCTAATAGAAGAGCAAGTCTTCTTCTCAAATATTTCTCTCTGTAGAAGTTGAAGAAGAAAGCTAGGGTTTTGCAAGAAAAGTCTTCAATCCACCATTGAAGTCAAGAGTTTGGCAATGATAGTTTTGATCCATGGAGCCCTTTCCTTCATGGAGTTCCCAAATTCTCCAATTTTGTAAAGTTAGATTCCCTAATCAAGTTAGGGTTTTGTTCAACTGTCATGGGTTCATTCCAATGTTGGTTCAATTGATTGTTTTACGTCTTTTTATGCATGAATTGATGTAATTGCATGTTTTTAAGATGAAAACCAACGAACCCATGCATAACCCATGTTTTTTAAGCTACGGTGATATAATGTGGGTCTTGAACTATGAAAGATGAATTTTATGAAAATATGCATGTCTTATAGATGTAAATGAATTTGAAGATGTATTGACTTTGAAAATATCATGAAGCTTATGAATTATTGAAAAGAATGCATGATCATAAAGGAAGTTTATGACTTGAGAGATATTATAGATGAGATTGTCTATATGTTCTATGAAGCTTGGCCACATGACATAAATGACATCTAGATTTGCCCTCAAAGATTTTAGGGCTATTTTCCTAAATTAGGTATTGATTAGTATGGTATCCGCTTATGCCATCAACGATTAGAGATCACAATTTCAAAACTATTTCCATTACTATTAGGGGCATCTCTAGCATGAAGTGAATGACTATGGACCTTAAAAACTATTAAAGAAGAACATCGATGGTGAAAGGTTTTATCACACATGGTCAAAAGATATATCCTATGATAAGGCATGTGTAGACTACCCATGTCTCTTAATGATAAGATAAGTCAATACTTAATTACTACTCCGTAGGATTTATGCTTAGTCGAGAGGATATGGAGATGAGAGATCTTTCGAGATGAGGTTGGGTTTCTAGTAGAAATATCCTCATCTCTTACGTATTTTCACCCAAAGGATTATTGTCTAGATAGACATTAGCTATTGTATCCACTTTAACTTAGATTCATGGCTCTACCTTGACAAGTAGGATAACCTTTTTCAGTGTGGGAGACACCGGGGATCCATGTTAGCTTACATGGTCTCTATGTCGGTTGACACTAATTTCCATAATAGTAACAAACTAAGGTTACTTCAAGAAGTATCTCACATATGTTCAAAGACGGTTTTACATGCATCGCTCATGATTTCATTTTATGTCTTCTAACCCTCTTATCTTATATTTTTACTTGGTCCTTGCATATCACGAAAAATATACTTTTTATCATGATTTCATATTTTAATACATGGCTATCATACCTAATAAACTTTTATACTAACACATACTCTTATCTATATTTCCCCAAATGTAGGGACCGACCTTACAAATTCGCACCTCCATGGCTAGGATCTCTTTATAGTTGAAGATTGAAGATTGGTGAAGCCTCATGTTTCGAGGACTGAGCCTTTATTTCATTATGCCTTTTCATATTTGATTTATGTACGGGTGACATCTCGATATTTTTTATGCACTAGAGGGTTGAGATCTTGTTAGACTTCCGCTCCATTTTATAAAATTCTATGTTTGAAATGTTCTTTTAAATCTTTTAATTTCTATTATTTTTTCTATGTATGTTAAGTGACTTGCATGGGGTCTCTCTAGGTCTTATACGTCATGTTATGTCTAGGGGCTATCTTGGGTCATGACAAACTTTGTATTTAGAGTACAAGGCTTAGAAAAGTCCTAGGATGTCTCATAAGCCACGTCGAGTAGAATCTTGTTCATGAGTGTGAAGCACGCCACATTTATGAATAAGAATCTATAAAATGTTTAGAAAGTTCCACTTCTTTCATTACTCTAAAGTTGTATGATAGAGTGTACCTCTAGGTGTCTTTCTCTCCTAACCCCCATTTATGTTTTTCATACCATGCCTCCACGAAGGAATCCCGTGAGAAGAAATAGAAATGTTTGTGAAAATGTAACACAAGAGGTTCCCCGAGTGTCGGTCAACCCTTTGGTCGAGCAAGTGAAAAATGATGATTTTTTGATCTGCATTTAATGCATTATCCCAAACTATGATGTTTCGAGCAAATAGAGAGGTTGTGGATCCCGTGACCCAAGGATGGGTACAACGGCAACAAGGATGGTGGAGTTTATTAGAATGAATCCTTCGGAATTTCACGGGTCTAACATTGAAGAATATTCTCTGGAGTTCATTGATGAGGTGTATAAGATGTTGATGATCATGGGAGTGAAGCCTGTAGAAAAAGAAGGAATTGGCCTCTTATCTAAGGGGGTGTTGCTCAAATTTGGTTCAACCAATGGAAGGAAGAGAGTGTGGTAGATGAAGTACCTCTTGATTGGGAGAAATTTAACGTTGCTTCTCTTGATAGGTTCTTTGCCATTGAGATGACATAGGCAAAAGTACTTGAGTTCATTAACATTTGCCAAGGAGATATGAGTATGAAGAGTATGCTTTGAAATTTACACAATTGTCTAAATAAGCTCCAACTATGGTTGTTGATCCAAGGAAAAGGATTAGTAAGTTTGTGTCGGGTGATTTCGACTTAGTGGTCAAGGAATGCCTAACCGCCATGATTGTTAAGGAAATGGATGTCTCCCGTTTGATGGTTCATGCACAACGAATAGAAGAAGAAAAGCTTAAAGAGAAACTAGGGATTCAAAGAGGTCAAGAAGGGATGATGATGATTCTTAACATTCAACCTCCGATAGAGGTAACAATTCCCAAGGTAAGGATAGTAGTGAGCAAATGTGGCCCGAGTGTCGAGGTGTAGAAGAATACATAACGAAGAGTGTCTAGTCAGTTCGAATGTGTGTTTTGGGTGTGGAAAAACAGAACACAAGATAAGGAACTACGCTACAATTGCTAGGGATAAGGGAGATAGTCTTCGACGGGCTCAATCCTACCTTTTCTCGGGTCTGGTGGAGATGGGAAACAAGATAGGTTTACATTCTCTTCAAACTCAAGAAGATCATGAGGGTTCTCTGGATGTGGCAATTGGTAAGTTAAGGTTTATGCTTTTCACCAATTGTGAAGTTTGTCTCCATACGATTACTTTTAGGGATGGTTGCACGTTTAGATATAGAATTACACCAAATAGATGTGAAGACTGCTTTTCTCGATGGAGAATTAAGTGAGGAATTCTACATGAAATAACCAATAGGTCTCATTGTTTAAGGCCAAGATAATAAAGTTTGTAAATTTAAAAAGATCAATTATGGCCTGAAGACATATTCAAGGAAGCGGTACCTGATATTTCATAAAAAGGTGATGTCATTTGATTTCACCATGAACGATGAAGACCATTAAATCTATGTGAAAAAGTTCAATGAGAAGATAGTAATTCTTTCTTTTTACGTAGATGACATTTTACTAGCTGAAATAAATTTGGATTATTTGAGAACTCTCAAGTCATAGCTTTCATAATCATTTGATATGAAAGATATGAGTGAATCGGACTATATATTGGGTGTTAAGATAAAAAAAAAGAAGATCATATCAAGAAATTTTTGAGTTGATCTAAAGAAACTCATAAAAAGAAAATATTGAAACACTTTCAAATGAATAGTTGAAAATTCATGGATACTCCTGTATTAGGAGTGCAACTTTAAGCCTTGAATGTGTCCAAAGACTGAAAAAGAAAAGAAAGACATGTT